AAACAAAGGAATCACTTAATGTGATGAGGCGGGACATCTAATTAACCTGGGCTCATTTAATTTAGACACTTATTACTTCCCACTTTATCTTTTCTATATGAGAAAAGCCAACCGAGACGATTACCTGCCTGCTCAGATTTCATTGTTCTCCGTGAGCTTTTATGTTTCCTGGTGTGCACCTCTCATCTGCTCCTTGTATCACAGAAAACAGAATTAAGGCCATGAAGTCTTTGTTATTGTACGACGGCCGGGTGGCTATACAACGGGATGGATTTCCCTCAGTTCTTACTCTAATGGAGAGCACCACAGTCGATAAATGACACCAACAGTTTTGTTCTGCTCGAGCTGCTGTAATTGAAAAGTAACTGATAATGAAATATATGGAGCCCCACCCCCTGCTATTCTCTGATATTTAGTTTGAGGTATTTAGTTGATTAGGATTAGGCCTGTTTCTCCTGCCACCATCCCCCATGATGCTTGTTCACCACTCATTTAAAGACAAACAAATAAACAAAACAATGGGAATAACTCCGATCATGTGCATGTTGATGAAAGAAATCTGGCATATTGAGGAAACTGATATCTATAAGTGTGTAGGATTTGGTGCAGCTTGACTAAATTTAAGGGGACTGCTGGGCCTTGGTGGAAGTATGCGCTCTGCTGAGTGCCATTCTAGTTATATTCATAGTTTCTTTAAAGCTGAGTCATGGTCGTTTCTTATATCTGCACGCAGCTTCTTTGTCAGATCCCACAAACTAACAGGAATGAGAGTGATGGATGAGATTTGAGCAGCTTCTGAACAAGTCAACCAGAGGATTACTTTTAATCTAAGCTTCTGTTTAGTGGCTCTCCTGTCTTCAAGGCAGGGCTTGTCACCATAAGGCTGCTCCGTTTGTGTTGCTCTCAGTCTTTGAAGTGGCCGGCATTTAGAAGGAGAACTCTGCTGCATTTAAAAGTCCCATGTGATGTTATAAATTCCTGCAGCCTGGAGAAGTTCAATCAAAATTCAAACAACAACTTTCTCATTAAGTTTGAGTTCATGGAGGTGCAGCAAAGATGGAAGTCTGCCTACAGACACAATAAAAGTTGAGCTACCCAAATGTATTTTATTTTAAAGTATTTTCTTAACTCGCCGGTCTTCATATTAACCCCCCAAAGCACTGTGAACAAGTCAAAGTAATTTTTTCACTCCAACTTTAAAGTTACGCTCTATATTTCTTGTAAAATCAGCACTAGTTATTTCCAAGCAATTTTCACAGTTGCTGTCATTATACTGTGCATCATTCCAGATAGATTCCTTTCCACATAAATATCATTACTTAATAATGAGCAGTTGCAGTCTTCATGTGGTACCATCTCAGCTTCTGTCAAATCTATTTCCATCTTGACAGCTCCACACAAACAACAAACTAACATTTCTGACCTGCTGCCACATTGGGAACCATCAAGACCTCTTCAATTGTCTGGGACAGGTTTTCTTTCTGTCTCCAGATGCAAAACTAAACATGGAGAAGCAGCGTTCAGTTTGTCTGCACCACACATCTGGAACAAGCTCCGAGAGCAGCAACACTTTGTTCTTTTAAATCAATGCTAAATACTTTCAAATGGCCTTTTACTAAATCAAAAAATGACCAAGTTCTTACAG